AGAGAAAGAGGAATGAAAGCCTCTGGTCAGAGTAAAATGTGCTAGCTGCCTTCTGGGGCTGGGTTTAAGTCTCTTAATTAGCAAAGCATTGTCACTGCAAGTGTAGTTGAAGCCAGTATATCTTGGACTGAAACACTAACCATCTTAATTCCTTAGAGTGAGGGAATTTGTAAGCATTCCTACTTTTGCCCATCTGAAGAGGATGGGCTATTCCTTGTGTCAAGAGTGATCTCAGTTAGTCAGAAAGGAAGATAAGAACAAGAGAGGGCAGTGAGGCAGCAGAGAACTCATGTAGGATGTTTCAGGCTGGATATGCTGATCACAAATGGCTGTTAGAGCTACCTGAAAAGCTGGTTGCTCAAGTAAGTGAAATTCTATCACAAATGATCATGTATTATAGAGTTCTTGTTCTCTAGAACTTCCATCAAGACTTGGTTGCAGATAGGACCAGCAGATGCCATGGTGGTTAAGGGCACTGGACTCCCACATGGCCCACTGTGGTTCAAGTCCCAGACCTGGCGGCTTGCTTTCTCGCTCTCTGATCCTAATTACTGCCACTCATGCTTGTGATCTGTGGTTTTGAGAGTATGAAACAATTAGAAAACTGTATTCAAAAGTTGGTAGGAAGTGGTATGTGGGGAAGAAGAGTAGAAGGGACTCACCCAGTTTTTTTCTTTTATTTTTTTCAGGCTTATTAGGAGAACTTCTAAAGAGAAATTCTGTGAATTTGTTTCCTTTTATGCTTTACTTTAAGCAACTTTGTAAAGAAATCTGGACAAAAATTTTCTGAAACTGATGGAAAAACTGTAGTACCTTTCTTGAGTCTGAAATCCAGTTTCTTTCAGGATTATTGTATATGATGAATATTTTAAGTAATCTGAGGTTATTTACATTCATGGAAATTATCATATGAAGAGAGAATAGTCTTGAATATAAGAAAACCAGTTGTTCTCATTGCGTGGTTTTTTTTTTTTTTTGGAGAGGTTTTTGCTATAGGGCATGCGTGCTCACTAGACAAACAGAAAGTGAGAAATCACTCCCCGGGGGAATGACCACACTGCAATCCCTTCTCCTCCATTCTCCTCTCAGGATCTTGGGCATGCATGCACACACACCTGGCATGAGTTTTAAGCCACTGGGTATGGGACTCAAACCGTGGTTGACTACATGGGAGTCCAGCGACATAGCCATTATGCTAACTGCTGGTTCCCTCATTGCATTTTAAAAAAAATTATTTTATTTAACTTTATCCATTTATTTATTTATTTGACCAGAGAAGGACAGAGTGACAGAGAGAGCCAGAGAGGGAAAGTGAGAAAGCAAGCTGCCAGGTCAGGGACTCTAACCTGGTCAGCCATGTGCGAGTCCAGCACCCTAACCACCATGCCACCTGCCAGCCCCTCATTGTATTTTGTGATGTCTTTGGGGCTGAATCTGTCTACTGTGTGTTCAGTTTTCAAGTAAAAGCTTAAAAAAGAACTCACGTTTTTGGGAAGGCTATTTATTGAGACATCTTGCTCTATTTGTTGTTTTCTATTCCATTATCTTGATAGATAAAAATACTATAGTTGAATATGTGAATAAAGGAAATAAAGGTTTCAGAAAGATACAAATTTTATTAATACCTAAATCATTTTTTTCCTTGGGCAGATGCAGGGAAGGGTTGGGCTTCCTTTTTTCTCTCCCACAGCAGGCCTACATGGTCATCATTGCTTAGCCTTTGCTGAGATGAGCAGGTGCATGAATGAAAACTCAGTTCTTCATCAGATTCTCCTGCTAGCACAGTATGGGATAATGGAATGGAAATATTACTGTGTACTGTGTGTGTATATACTTTGAAAATTTATATTCACAAGCTCAAGCCACTGTGGCACATAGAGAATGCTACCGCTTGGGAAGCTGGAATGCCTGAGTTTGGCATAACCTGAACACATCTGGCACAGTTGTGCGGATCTGTAATTCTAGCTAATTGGGAGACTGCGGCAGGACGATGGTGACATGGTAAAACCCCATCAAAATGATCTGTCTGTATCTCTCTCCCTTTCTGTATCTCTATGCCACTTGCTTTCTCCCTCATAAAGGAAAAATATTTTATTATTATAAATATTTCATCATTTCTTTGTGTTGGGAGACAGTTTTCTATGGGTCTTTTGTGATCCTATCTATATCGTGAGCAGAGGCATTTACGTATTTGTTTGAAACAGTCTTCAAGGATGTTTGGGACTCATGTTTATTGTTTTCCAATCTTTAAGACATTCTTGTTTCTCCTTGCTTTGATATAGGGTTCGTTTATAATGTTACCCCTTACATGGAATATCATCCTGGGGGAGAAGATGAGCTAATGAGAGCAGCAGGATCAGATGGTACTGACCTTTTTGATCAGGTACGATGCTGAAAGTAATCCAAGTATTACAATGGAAGTGTAATCACAGACTTTATAGAAAGTGTGACATTTATAGAAAGAAAATATAGTTGCATGAATTTCACATATGTTGACTTAAATTTTGAAAGGTGGGAAGATGCTCCTGAATAGCGGCTGGTCATTTAATCTGCCATTGAATTATTTTATTAAAAATGTAAAGGTTCTAAATTTGTGTCCGGGAGTCTACTCTTAAACACCTGTTGCCTCCTTCTCTGACAAGTGTTTCTTCATTCTTGATTAGCTTTTATAACAATAATGATGACTGATGAGAGACAGGGACTAATGATTAGAAGAAGGAACATTGGAATCTGCAACTAACTTGCTAAGTTGTTCTAAACAAGTTACTTTTTTGCTTTTAATTTTTCCATATTTGGGGATTGTTATATATTGAGCCTGCCTTGCTATACTGACTCTGCATACCAGATAGAAAGTTAGATGAGGTTGATCAATGAATAGGAAACTTGCTTTTCCTAGAGTATTAGCAGAGATTCTTTATGAGTATCTCATAAGATGCTTCAATTAGTCATTATTCACCTTATAATCACTGAGATCAAACATTAGCTCTTATGGTATTTTTAAAATTTTTTTTAAAAAGTATTTAGTTGTATTTATTATTATTATTATTTTTTAATTTGCTATAGGGCCTGTGTACTCACCAGAGAGAGAGAGTGAGAAAGCAAGCTGCCAGGTCTAGGACTTGAACTGCAATTAGTCATGTGATAATCAAGAGCCCTAACCACCACGTCAGCTGTTTGCCTCTTTCTTATGCTATTTACATCAGAATATATTAATTACTATTAACTTGCTGAACTGTTATTCTGAGGGAACAATTTTTATAAGGATAGAAAATTCCCTTTGTCTCACATAGGCTTTATTTTGTATTTTAATGATCAACTATGTTGTAGTACTAGGGTTTTACCTGAATCAGATTGGATTATTTATAAATTTTTTGGATTGAATATAACTTTATTTCTGTTTTTCTTCCTTCCTTATCTACTGGGATTTTTTTGACCAAACTTGCTAGAAATATAATTTGTTTTATATGAAAAATATTTCATTTCTTCTACTGCAATGGTAGAATCTCATTTGCTGCCAATGTTCTTTTTGAGTTGGAAAAATCATTTTTGCCCATTGGCTATAATAGCATTTTCATTGGTCAGTTTTTATTGCTGTTTTGACTTAAGTTCTTCTTGCCTTAAAATTATTTATGACTTTCATTCTCTATGAAGTAAACAGCTTTATATTCTATAACTGTGTTGAAGCTTTTTGCATCTTTCAGTGTGAGCATTTATTAATACTTGTGCTCAGTATTAGAATTGTATTAGACTATTAAGTAATCTCTTTATTATTGATCAGATTTTTGTCTCCATTTTTGAACCCACTGCTGACCTCTTGTCTTGAAATTTCCAAATGTCTGATGTGCAATTTGGTAACATTTTGGCACTTCAGCTTAATGTGTCCTCAAATAATATCAGCTTGAAGTCATTGAGTAATCTTTGCCTTCCCTCTGTGTGCCAATATCTTATGATCTATCTTCAAACATCACGCCTTCTCCTTTCCCACTGCCTTGGTTTAAGTCATTATCATCCTCTCTAGTCCCACTATTTTAATACTGTCCTGATATCTTTATCTTCAGTACTGATTTAGATAGCATGACAGCCTGATTAGTTTTCTTGAAAACAATCAATCATCTCAGCACCTTGCTTTGCCATCTTGGTGGCTGCATTGACAGGGGACTAAATTTAGTCATTAGCCTTGCATTTGAGGCCCTAGAAAGCATGTATCAGGGTAAATATTCTTGACATGCTAGTTGATCTACTTCTTAGTTTTTAGATGTATGTTCAGAGTGATTTAAGGTTTCACTTTGCTCATAATAAAGTAAGAACATCCAGTGGAGCTATAATCATGTTATTTTTCATCCTTTATTTTCCTCCATACCAGGTTCACCGTTGGGTCAATTATGAATCCATGCTGAAAGAATGCCTGGTTGGCAGAATGGCGGTTAAACTTACCATTCCTAAAGGTAAGTGGTACTGGCGCTGGTTATATGTGTGATTTACATGTCTTTTTTTTTTTTTAACTTGGATTTCAACAAATAGATTTAAATAAATTACTGTAGTTTTCTCAGTTTCGCTGGCTTCCTGGTCTAGTCACTTTACCAGTTTTAATTTAGTTCTTCTTTAGAATCATATAATAGTGGGAACAACAAATGGCTATGTTGCTAGATTCCCGTGTAGTTGACTGTGGTTGAGTTCTGGACCCAGTGGCTTAAACTCACGCCAGGCATATGTGCATGCATACCCAAGATCCCAAGAGGAGAATGGAGAAGGGATTGTGGCGTGGCCATCCCCCCTGGGGGGTAATTTCTTGCTTTCTGGTGAGTGCACGCACCCTATAGCAAAAACTTCTCCAATAAAAAGAAATAATCATATAACGATATAATGGTTTTTCCTTAAAAATGTGTTTTGTAAAACTCATAGTGTAACAGGTAAGCATTGTAGAAGTCAGAGAGCTTTACTTACTCTTTGTTTAGTTTTCCTTAGTCTCTTACTCTGTTGACCCAGGCAAATTAGCTATATAACATGGTTAGGGTTGTTTTTTAGATTTTTCTTTTTTAGAAATTTTTTTTTTTTGGAGAGGTTTTTGCTATAGGGCATGTGCGCTCGCCAGAAAGACAGAGAAAGACAGAGAGATAGAAAGGGAGAAATCATCCCCTGGGGGAATGGCCACGCCATAATCCCTTCTCCTCCATTCTCCTCTCAGGATCTTGGGCATGCATGCACATGTGCCCGACGTGAGTTTAAGCCACTGGGTCCGGGACCTGAACCGCAGTCGACTACATGGGAGTTCAGCAACATAGCCATTATGCTAACTAGTCCTGAAATTGATGTTTTTTAATGAAAATACATTTATATGATTCAAAAATCAGAAAATATAAAAACAGCGATATTTTCTTGGTCAGCTTTGTCTCCTGTTTACTTTGAAAACTTCCCACAAATAATCACCATTGGCCCACCTCTAGATAATCACTATTCTTATTTTAAACTTCTTTTAAAGTACATTCCTTCTTCCTGTCACTTCTGAGCTAAGGATCTACAATCTGTGGGGTGTTTGAGGTCATTTCTTTCTAAGTTTCTTTCAGAATAACGCCCTTTAAAAATTTTAGACATTGAATCAGAGTTGTAAGAACACATCATTCTTTTCTATGAAGGAATAAAGGTTTGTTTGTTTTGTTTTCAATTTATTTATTTTTTTGAGGAACTCCTAAACTTGATACTCAAATTAGGAATAAATTGGCTTGTTCAATCAGTCTTCTACTATTTTTCATTTAGTGAATTTTTTCATTCAAGGCTTCATTGCCAGAGGCTTTGGTATGGCGCTATCACAAACATATCTGGATTTGAACCCCACCTTTATGGTCTATTGACTCTGCAAGCTTTGGACCAATTTTCAGCTGTGAGGATCAATTTTCTATCAGTACAATTATTCATATGGCAAAAAAATTAATATAAGTAAATTTCCTTGCACAGTGAGTATAAAGAATGATCAATCAGGATGATTTTTTTCCCTCCCTGTTGCTACAAAAAAAACAAACAAACAAGACAAAACAAAACCATGATCAATACATACTCATACCCCAGAGCAAGCAAGTTTGAACTTTGGCATTTGGAAATTCTTCTAAACCAGACTTTTTTTTTTTTTTTTTTTTTTTTTTGAGAGATTTTCATTGTAGGGCGCGTGCGCTCGCCAGACAGAGAGAGACATAGAGACAGAAAGCGAGAAATCACCCCCCAGGGGGGATGGTCACACCGCAATCCCTTCTCCTCCATTCTCCTCTCGGGATCTTGGGCACGCACACACACGCGCCCGGCGTGAGTTTTAAGCCACCGGGTCCAGGACGCGAACCGCCGTCGACTACGTGGGAGTCCAGCGACATAGCCATTACGCTAACTGCTGGTTCCCTAAACCAGACTATTTTTAAAAATCATCCTCTTTCCCATTTCAGTGGTCCCTAAGTTCACTTATGCAATTCTAGCTGGATATATAATCCTAACTAAAATTTCTGAATAGTTAACCTTATCTCATACCAAATGTTATATGTCTGAATGTTACATGATCTGGTATCAAAGATCATGATTTCTTCTGTAATACCATTTAGGGTGATCAGAAAGTGTGGTAGGCTCCTCAGGTTTCTAGTTCATAGAAGACATTAAATTAGTAAAAGAACTTGTTTCTTTTCCCATCTTTGGAAACGAAAAACAGTTCCTAAAATGTTTGATCAAACACTACAGATACTATTTTATTTTAAAGTTTAATTTTACTTCTTTCTTTCATGAGACAAAGACACAGAGAGAGAAAGACAGTCATTCTCAACAGGGTCTGCATGCCATGATCCACCTCCAGCCTCAGCCAGCCTGAATCATGGGCATGAGAGCACTAAAGTAGGCTCAAGGAGACACCCAAACTGAGGACCTACCCATGTGGGACCAGTTGCACTGCTGCTATGCTAAATCTGGGCTCCAACAAACACTATTTTAAATGAGCAAATTATTTTACAAGGAAATCCAGTATGTGTGTTTGTGTAATACGTATTTATTATGCATGTGTATGAAAAAAAAAGTCATAGTATGAATAGTCAAGCAGATTAGACACAGTAGAGGAGTTCAGTGAACAGCAGAACTTACATAAAATGTGTCAGAGGAAGACAAGAAGATAGAAAAACTATGCAAGATACATGGAAGATAGAGTAATAAGACCTAATATTTCTAATTATATTTCAAAAAGGTAGTGAAATGAAGAAGCAATGTCTGAAGGAATAAGAGCTTGGAATTTTCCAGAATTGCTCAAGAAATTCAGGAAGTCCTAAACAATGTAAATAAAAAGAAATCCATATGTAGACTCTTTGTAGTGAAACAATAGAACACCAAAGACAATGATAAGATAAGAAAAGCAGCCTGAGAGGTACAGATTTACTAATAAGCTGAAGATTGCTAGCTTATTTAATTTATTAAATTAAAGCCAGATTTAACTTATTAGCTGTTAATAGCTAATTTATTAGATCAACATTAGAAGCCAGGAAACAGTAAGATAATATCTTGAGAGTTCACTGAGAGAAAATAACCAAGATCCTAAAATCATTTACTAGTAGCAAAAGCAACAACAACAGCAACAAAAATCTTATGAAACCCAAAGCAGAAGACCAGAAGACTTGGGGAAATAATTTTAGAGTAAACCCTAATCATAAAGAAATAAACTAATTGATATTCCTGTTCCTCCTTACTACCTAGTTCATAGGAGTGCAAACACATGTCTTACCCAGAATTAGGTATGGACTCTGAGATGCCATGTATTCATGAATTGATTCACATTTGTAGGAGATTTCATTTTCTGGTATAGATGAAAAATAAGTTCTTATTCTTTGTTCTTATTCTTTGACTGTCATTGTGGCTACTGAGCACTTGAAAAAAAACCCAATGCAAATTGAGATATGCTGTAAGTGTAAAATACACACTGATCATAATGTGATTATATATTGAAATGATAATGTTCTGGAGATATTGGATTAAGGAAAAATATATTATGAATTTAATATAACTTGTTTGTTTTTCACCTTGTTAATTTGGTTATTAGGACATTTAAAATTTTGGACTGGCCCTCTAGCCTAGTGGTTCAAAGAGCTGGATCTTCTTATATGGCGGACTCCAGTTTACATCCTGGCTGCAGAGATTTGAAAACTGTACTGGGCATCTATGTGTGCACGCATTCCCCAAATCCTGACAGAACAGAATAGAGATGAAGGGATTGTGACCACACCTCTTTGGGAGTGCTTTCTCCCTTTGTCTCTTCATCTCTCCCTGGCAAATACATGCACCCTGTGTCACTTTTTTAAAAGTAAAACGAAAATTAAAATTTATCATCTCTCAGGCCAGCTCTGTGTTTAAGGTAGGTGAATCCCCATAGCTAACCACATAGTACAAGTCCAGGATCCAGTGGCTTCAGAGAAACACTGGGTTCATGTGCATGGTTCCCAAGATCCTGAAATACTGAAGGGGAGGAAGAGATGGAGGTGAAAGGATTACAGTGTGACCGTTCTCCACAGGGAATGCTTTCTCCTCTCCCATTCTCTGTCTCTCTGATGGCCTTCTAGCAAAAATAAAAAAACATTTTTTTATATATATTACATTTTATACACACACACACACACAGCAGTTAATGACTGTAAAGCACGTAGAACTGTACATTAATAAAATATGTAGTTGTCAGAGGGATTTAGAGCTGTTTCAACATCTTCAGTTTAAAAGGAAAAATATTGAGGCTCGTAGGTAGGTATATGTTTCTTACTAAAGGCTACAGAGTAATTTAATTGCTGAAGCACACTGATAGAAGAAATCATGGGTGCTCCATTTTATAAGGAAAGGAATTGCTTCATTAATGTTACCTACTTTTAATTTTTGTACATTTTATTTTTGTTTGGTGTAATATGCCCATGGTCCTTAATTGGGGTTGATTTAGCTATTCAGAGGACATTGAACAATGTCTGAAGACATTTTGGTTGCCACAAAGTAGATGCTACTGGTTCATACTTCAACATCTTGGGTCTGTAAAGCCAGGGGAACAGATTGACCCCAGGATCCTCGGGTACTGAGACATTCATTTCAGAGTCCCGTTATCGTCATAGCACTGTGAGCAAGGGTGAGGTATTGAATGGGCTGGCTGCCAGCTGAAGTCCAGCTTCTGTAGAGTCAATCAAAGTTTATTATTTTAAGAGCCTCAGTTTCCTTATAGGTAAAATGGGGGACAATGCAGGTAGGCAAAGCAGTAGCTCAGAGCTAACTGCCATGGGAGAAGCTAGACAGTTACTGGTACAGAGGGAGGGACAGAAGAAAAAAGTAAAATGTGCTTAACTGGATGAACAGATTTTCTGTTTCACTTTGGCTGCCTTAATTTGCTTTTGCTCTTGTAGGACCTATTTTCTGGGTGATTCATGCCAGAAAAATATAAGGGAAAGGTAATTAAAATGGG